ATGCCTGCAGCCTTTCTTTTGCTTTCCCCTTCTCCTTACATTGTATCATTCCCCTAATAAAGCACTTGAAACAAGCAACATTTAATCTTTCCGCTTGATACTTTTGTATCTTTCCTGCCTCAGACTAATTCAACATTAAAATAACCCTTTTTCCAGGCTCCGGAGAGCCGTGAGCCTGCGGGGAGGTGCCTCCAGGCACCCCCCGGACCCTGGATCTGTGTTCGCCCAATTCGTGGATACTGAAACCGCCATTTTGGACCCCAGTAACCACTAAAACAGTAACATGGCGGATTGGCGCCGTTCTAATTTTGTATTTTTCTGCTATTAATTCTAAGACTAACTGCTATCTCGCTTTCCTCATTTTGGACTCCTGCGCTCGGGGAATAATCATTTTGTTTAAAGCATTATTATCTGACAGCAAACAGCTGATTGCCAAAACTCTGCCGGCTCGGCGAAAGCAGCCTGTTTTTCCCTTGCTACCACTCGTTCCCGCCCGGCCCTGCCATCAGGGGCTTGCTGTGGGCTCACATAAGAAGCCCCAGAGAAGCGGCCAGGCGGGAACCCCAGCCCCAGCTCGGAAGATCTAGTTCGCCAAGGGCCGGGCAATGGACTCTGTTACTACCCAACTCAGCGCCCATCACTGGACTTCTGCCTTTTCTTATTGACTCTCTGCTTCATGAACTGAACTGTTTATCATATCCATGACCACGAACTCTCTATTGGTGCCTGACTTGAGATGCAGACAGCCTCCGCTTCCACAGATCCTCTTCAAAGTTTATGAAGCCTCCAGTTTGTGCTATAATAAGATCAAATATTGTAATAAAACTTTGCTTGGGGTGGGGATGGGATTTGCTCATGAAATATATGAAATGTATGGAATGTTTATAATGTAATATCATATGGAATGTACTCTGATTCCCCTTCCCGCCTTTCCCTTTGACCCTTGCCCCAAAAAGATGTGACCTGGGGATTACTGTCATAAGGAGGAACTCCTTTGTCCTCCCGAAACTATTCTTAATTACATTTGCATGGGCCGTGCTGTTGTCTTTCCCCCGATCCTGACTTTCAGAGCAGACAGTGAGGGGAGGGGGAGTCAACAGAAACTCAGGAAGAAAAGACTGATTAAATCATTTTTGATATTGTTGATCCCCCCTTTTTTGAAGTCCAATATCGCCGAAAGCTTCTTTTCATACTTCCTCCCAAATCCCATCACAGACCAGGAAGCTCATTGTTC